CCCCAAAACCCCAAAACCCCAAAACCCCAAAACCCCAAAACCCCTTAAGACCTCAGAATATTGAAATTGAATAGATTTAAAGCTGTATTTTTCCTTCCTTGGTTTTCTGGACTTGTTGGACTGGGCTATTGTGTCTAGGTATTTGTGGTAATTGGTGAAGCCTATTTTACTGTATTGACCCCTGTACAGTTTTAAGTTTTGGTCGCTATGAAATTGATTAGAAATTAGGCATGAAAGGATAGTTTTTGAAATCTTTATACCATAACATTTTCTCTAAAAATCCACCATTCTCTATCCAAACAATACAAACCAATCATACACTCCCTATCAACCCCAAAATCCATTCCTCCCCTCCCCCTCTTCCCCACCACACCCCATCCCTACCCCTTAAACCCACCCTCACCTCTAACCTCTCAACCCCCATTTCTCCACCTTCCGAAAAAGACAGCTCCAAGAATAAAGAGACTCAAATGCGGCTTTACGTAGAAGAAGGAGGGTTAGGGAAGAATGAGTGGGAACAGAATTAGGGTAGTTGTGGTAGAGATACTGAGACGTAGGGTGATATGGGTGGTGCAGAAGAGGTAAGGTCTGGTTATGGTGAGGATGGAATATTTGGGGAGGGGGAAATAGGATGGATGGTTGATGTATGGAAAGGAGTTAAGGGATTTAGGGAAATGTACGGTGAGGAAGGAAAATTGGAGTATTTGGAAGCTTTGGTGAAAAGGGAGAAATGGAATTGGTTTTAAGAGATTGGGAGGTAGGGAAGGGAGTTACTTCTTTTTGGAGATCGTGTTGAGGCCGGTGCTTGCTTTTAGAGCCTTGATTCTACGATTTAGATACAAACTTACTCAAATAAGAACTGTCTAGTGATGAATTCAGGAGTCTGTAATGGAGAATTAAGGGGAGATAGGATCCCAGTTGATTGGCAGGTTATTTGTCTCAGGAAGAGAGGATCAGAAGAATCTTGCTGGGGAGGTAGTCTGGCTTTAATGCAAGTCTTTGTTTTTATAAATAAAGGATTATGGGCTTCGAGGAGGTTAGATTTGGTTTGATACAATAACTCAACACTTTTACTTCTTCCCTTGACAAACCATTTTCTGTTAACATCCTCTACACTCTTCACTTTCTCCTCTCTTTCTACTTTCTTCTGTCCCCTCTTTCTACTCCAATCCCTCTTACCGCTCCTACCCCTTTTCTTCTCCTGCTTTGTCTCCTGCTGTTTCTCTTGCTCTCTCTTTCTGCCCATTCATCATGCCTCACAATTTCCCATATCCTATCTCTAAAATCTCAATTATATATAATCCCATTGGGGTTTTGGGGTTTTGGGGTTTTGGGGTTTTGGGGTTTTGGGG